ATAGAATAGAATAGAATAGAATAGAATAGAATAGAATAGAATAGAATAGAATAGAATAGAATAGAATAGAATAGAATAGAATAGGAGTGAAGGATTTATTGCAGTGCTTCATACTGGATAACAATTTAAATTTATCCAGTGCATAATACCTTGAAATAGTTAATTGATCAGGAGTGCATTGTTTTAATCGACCACAAATATTTCTACATTTATCAGCTCTTTCAAAGAGGTTAACTTGAGTTAAAGTATTTTATGTACAAATCAATTTATATATCAGACAAAATAGTATTGGCTGTAGATATAATTGTTTTAAAATACAATTTCCAGCTAATGTCTGAAATTACTGTAGCTGCTGCCAAACATTTTAGCTGTAGGAAAATAACTGTATTTTTGCACAGTACAATATTGGATAGTTTTCTCATATGTAACAAGTTTTACCACAGAGGTATAGTTAAAAAAATCAAACATTTTCACTTTATATAGAGAACAGTATTCAGCCCAAATTAAGAGTGTTTAGGTACCTTGATTTCAGTGTAAGACTAACATGGATGCTTAAATCTCCTTCACTTGGGAATGGGGGACGAGTGGGAAGTTTTCTTTTGATTGTGATCCTTTCTGACTTCCAACAATAACAATTTTCCAATTAATGATCTCCATTTCTCTGGTTTACTTACGAATTATTAGTGCAGTGTTATCCTGTTTTCTTCTTTCAAACAGTTGCTGCAGTCGTATTGTTCTTTACAATAGAAGGCCCGCACAATATACCTCTAACTGAAGTAATAGGGCCAGCATGGCTCATGTTGCTCCTTGGAACTGTACATTGCCAGATTGTTTCGACAAGGACGCCTAAATCATCTCCAAGCACAGGAGGGAGAAGGAGAAGGTACATTTGTGCTAATACTGGGTGGCATTTATGCATGTCTTTGCTTTAATGTGAATTAAACCCTAAAAGATTAGAGAAGACACACTGTATGAAAGTAGAGATTATATATTAGTAAGATATTATTAATTTGTAATACAGATTTTCATTTGTTTTATTATTTACAAGAATATGTTAAGTCACGCATCAAAAGCAAAGTGGCTACCCTATGGACTTTGAATAAAGAATGGTGGATGCCGTTTTCTTGTGTCAGTTTCAACCTATTTCATGGCAAATTGGGATTGGAGGGGTAGCGATACTTTTGCCATGCCTCCATGTTGTTATTTCTAATATGTTCTGAAGTTCCTTTTATCCAGGGATACCATATGGACATTTTATTATAGGCTAAACAGTACAAATCCGTGCATTTTAGTAGATAAGTAAATAATGGAAATAAGATGCCATAACCTTAAATACTGGCTCTAATTCCATGAGAATTAAAGTAATCTGTCAAAAGGTTAAAAAGTGTTCATGAATTTACTTTTTTCTGCCTTCTGAACTTTTTATTTCTTATTAAAAGAGAAGATTTCTGTCATCTGAAAAGGTGGTTATGAAAATTTAATTTGTCTTGTTTAAATTAACAAAGCCATTGTTCAGCTTCAAATATACTGATGGATTTAAAGCTCTTTTGTGCATGCTGTCCATGTTGTGGTGCTATGACATTTACTAGATACCTCCACTTTTAATTTCTTCTGATGAAGGAAATTAAGGAAAGCGGCACATTTGGAAGTGCATAGAGAAGGAGATGGCTCTAGCACGACAGATAACACACAGGAGGGAACCATACACAGCTACGGTACAAGCACTCCTTATAGTCTTGGCGCTGTCTTCAGGGATATCTGGCATGCTACTTTCTTTTTATCAGGGTTTGTATTTTATTGAAAGCATTTGAAATTGGAATATTTTATTATCTTAAATGTTGCACTATCCCTTTTCTCTAATATAATTGTGTCAAAGTATTTTAGCACCTATGACTTTGTTTTCCACACTGCAGTATATGTAAACACTGAAGACCAGCATAAGAAATTGAGGCAACAGATGCCCCAAATCAATGAAAACATTAGATCCTGTTCTAAAATGGCTGGTCATTTTTCAGCTGGGTTTCTTATTTGGCTCTGATACGTTTTCTGTTAAATTAGGAACATACTCTTCTACTTTTTCAGATCCAGGACTCTCCTTTATTTCCAGCCTGCAAGATTCACTTTTACATTTCTTTTCCTTCTTAACTTACTTGTAGCTATCAAAGAGAGGCACTACATTTGTATCAGCCTTCCCAGGTAGTTGTTGTTGTTGTTTAGTCGTTAAGTCGTGTCCGACTCTTCGTGACCCCATGAACCATATTGCGCCAGGCCTTCCTGTCCTTCACTGCCTCCCTGAGTTTGCTCAGTTTCATGCTCATTGCTTCAGTGATGCTATCTAACCATTTCATCCTCTGCCGTCCTCTTCAGCTGATTAAAACCAAATCCATTTCATTCATTATG